ACAATGGCATTCAATAAAGTGTACATGTTTCTGGTAAAAAAAAAAAAAAAAAAAAAAAAAACCCTAATCCTCAATGTTATGGTATTTGGAGGTGGGGCCTCTGTGAGGTAATTAGGTCATGAAAGTGGAACTCCCATGAATGAGCTACTAATCTCACCAAACCTCTTATAACCTGCCCTTATAAGAAGAGGCCAGATTGGGCTGGGCACAGTGGCCCACACCTGTAATCTTAGCCCTCTGGAGGCTGAGGTGGGAGGACTGAGCACAGGCGTTTGAGAGCAACCTGGGCAACGTGGCAAAAACCCCATCTCTCTCAAAAAAGATACAAAAATCAGCTGGATGTGCTGGCATGTGCCTGTAGTCCCAGCAACTGGGGAGGCTGAGGTGGGAAGATCACTTGAGCCCGAGGAGGCGGAGGCTGCATTCAGCCGTGATGGAGCCACTGCACTCCAGCCTGGGCAACACGGTGAGAACTTGAGATCAGGAGTTTGAGACCAGCCTGACCAACATGGTAAAACCTCATCTCTACTCAAAAAAATACAAAATTAGCCGGGCATAGTGGTGCATGCCTGTAATCACAGCTACTTGGGAGGCTGAGGCAGGAGAATCACTTGAACCTGGGAGGCAGAAGTTGCAGTGAGCTGAGATCGAGCCATTGCACTCCAGCCTGGGCAACAAGAGCGAAACTCCATCTCAAAACAAACAAAAAAAAAGGATCTCTGATCACAAAGCTTTTGTTTAATAATTTATTGGTTGATGATATCATGTCATAATTTATTTATTTACTTATTTTCTTTTTCTTTTTTTTTGAGATGTATTCACTCTCTCACCCAGGTTGGAGTGCAGTGGCACAATCTCGGCTCTCTGCAACTTCTGCCTCCTGGGTTCAAGCAATTCTCCTGACTCAGTCTCCTGAGTAGCTGTGATTACAGGCATGTGCCACCACGCCCAACTAATTTTTGTATTATTAGTAGAGACGGGGTTTCCCCATGTTCGCCAGGCTGGTCTCCAACTCCTGACCTCAAGTGATCTGCCCACCTCGGACTCCCAATGTGTTGGGATCACAGGCATGTGCCACCATTCCGGCCCATAAATTACTTAAAAAAAAAAAAAAAAAAAAGAATTGCTTAAGCAGAGCCATGCATGGTGGCTCACATCTGTAATCCTCGCATTTTAGGAGGCCAAGACAGGCAGATCACTTGAGGTAAGGAGTTCGAGACCAACCTGGCCGACATGGCGAGACCCTGTCTCTATTAAAGATACAAAAAATTAGCCGGGCGTGGTGGCGGGCGCCTGTAGTCCCAGCTACTCGGGAGGCTGAGGCAGGAGAATCGCATGAACCTGGGAGGCAGAGGTTGCAGTGAGCCAAGATTGAGCCATTGCACTCCAGCCTGGGTGACAGAACAAGACTGTGACTCAAACAAACAAACAAACAAACAAAAAACGAATTGCTTAAGCAGATCCTGAATTCCAGCAGAACAGCTGACTCCACCCAGCTCAAAGACTCCCACAGAAGCCAGGAGCAGTGGCTCACGCCTATAATCCCAACACCTGTAATCCCAGCACTTTGGGAGGCCAAAGCAGAAGACTGCTTGAGCCCAGGAGTTTGAGACCAGCTCTGGGCAACATGGTAAGACCCTGTCTTCATTAAAAAAATTAAAAATTAGCTGGACATGGTGGCGTGTACCTGTGGTCCCAGCTACTCAAGAGGCTGAGGCAAGAGGATCACTTGAGCCCATGAGTTTGAGGCTGCAGTGAGCGACGACTGTGCCACTGCACTCCAGCCTGGGTGACACAGCAAGACCCCGTCTTTCTTTATCTTTCTTTATCTTTCTTTTTTTTTTTTTTTTTTT